AAAAATATGTCATTATAAAAAGATTCTTATTCAGTCCTGTCTGAAGTACATCTTTTTCCTTTGGAATTTTTCAAACTGTTGGACCAAATGTTGCCACTGATGGGTGAAATATTAAGTGTATGGCCCATTTGTGTTATTATCTAGCAACATTTGTTAAAATGTGGTCCATGGACTACCTGTCCCAGAGTCACTTAGGATGCTTGTTTAAAAATAGAGATTCTAGGGGCGCCTGGGTGGCGCAGTCGGTTAAGTGTCCGACTTCAGCCAGGTCATGATCTCGCGGTCCGTGAGTTCGAGCCCCGCGTCAGGCTCTGGGCTGATGGCTCAGAGCCTGGAGCCTGTTTCCGATTCTGTGTCTCCCTCTCTCTCTGCCCCTCCCCCATTCATTCTCTGTCTCTCTCTGTCCCAAAAAATAAATAAACGTTGAAAAAAAAAATTTAAAAAAATAAATAAATAAATAAAAATAGAGATTCTTTTGTCACCTCCAGACTTACTAAATCAGAGTGTCTGTTGATGGGGTCCAGGAATATGTATTTTATTATTTTTTTTTTTATTTTTTTTTCCAATGTTTATTTATTTTTGGGACAGAGAGAGACAGAGCATGAATGGGGGAGGGGCAGAGAGAGAGGGAGACACAGAATCGGAAAGAGGCTCCAGGCTCTGAGCCATCAGCCCAGAGCCTGACGCGGGGCTCGAACTCACGGACCGCGAGATCGTGACCTGGCTGAAGTCGGACGCTTAACCGACTGCGCCACCCAGGCGCCCCTGCATTTTAAACAAGAAACATGGATGATTCTGATGCCTGCTAAAATTTGAAGTCCACTGGAAGGATGTATTAGAAGCTTATTGAAAGGTGATGTGGAGTGTTAGAGAACAGCATTGAAGATGTCAACCAAATGACTTAATAAGGAGCAACTTTTTAATTTTAAAATGAAGTAGGGCAGAACAGTTTTTCAAGCTCCTCCCAACCCTAGAATCCAGAGGTTATTTCATGCTTTGTATATGCTCTGGGCATTGCGGTTTTGTTGTATTCAGACTTCTGAGAATGTTCTACTTTGGCTTTTTAAACTGGTTGTAAGTGCTTCTGTTGAAGACTTAAAAAAACAGGGATTAATTTTTTGTAATTAAATGCTTTTAGGATTTAAAACTTTTTAATGGAATCAAAGATGGAGTTTAGACACTGTATTTGAGTTGTTCTTCATTCCTTCAAGGTCTTGGCATTTCAAAGTCAATCTGATGTTGGCTAATTGGGCTGGGGGAGGGAGGAGAGGCCAGTAACCCAGCAAATGGTGCATTTTGGGTTACAGATTTTCAAAACTTCAGAAGTTAACATCAAGGCTTTATTTGCAACTTTCAAGGGGTGATATTACTGAAAGAGCATTTTCTGTGAGCAATGTAGACTTGAGGCAACATTAATATTGGTTTAAGTAAAAGTCAATATTCTTCACTAAAGTTTTTCTTAGCAATAAAAGTCATCATTAAATATTTCTCAAAGACAAAGTTGAGAAAACAACGAGCCTGCAGATAGTGTAATAAGAACTTAAACTGAGGTAAGACATTTTATCAAAAACATTTGATTTTTACTTGGAAGATGGCTTAGAGAAAGAAAGTCATAAATGCTTTCCATATTCATATTTCAAAATCCATCTGCTTCACAAAAAATATATTTCTTTGGTTGTGATATAAAAGCATAATTTTTTATCTTAATCTGTGAGGGACTTGATTACCTAATTTAAATCCTAAGAAAATAATCTACAGAGTATTTATTAAAGAACAAAGTACATACAAAGCAAATAATGTTTCTTAGAGATAAACGTACAAAATGAAAATTGTAGGGGTAGCAACTTGATGAGCATGAGGCCCAGCTCTCTGATTAATTTTTTTGTGTTCTATCTTCTTGTCAACTAAACAGGTTCCTTGCTTAATGTTAGGAACTGGTTCAGTTTTCCTTCTTATGGTTCTACTCAGAGAGCGAGGGGGAGCTTGATCCTTTTGACATTTCACTTTGAGGCCTACTATTGAAGGCCCTATTCTTTTTCTCTTTTTAAATAGTCTAAATATATATATATATATATATATATATATATATATATATATATATACATATATAGTCATCAAAACTCATATATGTGTGTGTGTGTGTGTGTGTGTGTGTGTATACACACATATAGTCACCAGAAATCGTGCACATACTTAGTATCAATGCAGGAAACAAATAAGCAAGTTTCAGTTACCACTTGAGGAGAGAGCATTAGGAGGTAATTGTCAGACTAACAATAAATGTCACCCAGGGAGTGTGCTCCTGTCATGGCAAGATAACTCACAAAGGACATAATTCTATTCACTCACAAAGAAAGCAATACCAAAGCTGATACAAATGTGTAAAACATTCACAGTTATATAATTTATTTGAGATAAATTCTTGAAAGGAATGCTATTTTAACACATGAATTTTTCCAAATTTTAGTGTTATTACAATTGGGGTAGACAATTACATATGCAAAGTCTGTTTTCATAGGGACAATTGTACTTTTGTATGACCTTTCTAAAGTAAGAAACATTGGGTTGGATTATATTTCTATAAGGCAAGTTTTTCTTTTTTCTTTCCTTCTTCCTTCCTTCCTTCCTTTCTTCCTTCCTTCCTTCCTTCCTTCCTTCCTTCCTTCCTTTCTTCTACCCATCCATCCATCCATCCATCCATCCATCCATCACTCCTCATCTGAAGCTATTAAGGAAGGACACAGCAACATATATAATTACCTTTCTGACAGTGGAGATATTTGATCATATTCAGATAATCTAAATGGGATATTGAAAGGAAATCTTGCTTTTTGTTTTAAAATTAGTATGTGGGGGTGTGGAGGTGTGTGTGTGTGAGAGAGAGAGGTTTTGCTAGAGTCCTCTTGGATAGAAGAGCCTGGATTGGAAATATATATATATATATATACATTGGTAGCTTACCTGTCATCTGAAGGGCTTTCGTTTCTACTTCACAGGAAGTTGTAATATTCTATTGTCAAAAAATGTTTTGTGCAACTTATAGAAACCTTATGATAGTACAGCTTGTATGATCCAATAGAACTTTGATAAACTCTAGGATTAAAAAGAGAGGGGATATAAAGAAAGGCAGGTTTGGAGAAAGAAGAAAATGATAGTCTTTTGACAAGGAGTCAAATATTCAATTCACTGTATTTTTGAATTCCAACAAGCTTTGATCTCCTTAGCCCAGAAAATCCAGCAGGAAATTAAATGTGATCTAGGATACAAGCGGAAGGTTTGATATGCCCCTTCTCGTTTGTCATGCCCTTGTGGAAGGTGAGAATATGGGAGGCAAATTATTTGTATATTGCACTGAAAGGAAAGAAAAAAATCATTACAAGCGAGTCGATTGGTTGACCTAATGTTGTTTGATTAGAAGTAATTTCTCTTTGGTTGTTTCTTTGCTTATAAATGCTTTTCCTTTGCATTTAACAATGAAAACTCTGTCAGGCATAGTCTGTAAGTAGCTTAATGTTTGGCCCTTATGTTCCTTAGGGACATGGCTTGTACCTCTCTTCTCTCGTGGGGCTGTGTTGTTGGCATATCCTAAACACTTGCATTTCACTCCTTGTTTTCAGAGAAACACTTCCTGAATTGTTTTTAATTGTTCAGTGTTTAAAGGTAAAAGGGATCAGGTATAGGGCTTCTCTGAGAGAATTTAACATTTTGTGTATTCATTTCTATGGTAGTTGAAATACATTAATATTAGCACAATCAGAAAGGGCCTTATATCAGACTCTGCTAGGTAACTTTAGATGTTTGTCACTGTGATCATGATTCATTTTTGGCACTGAGGATTATTCTTTCTATCACCAGTGAGCAGTAGAACAGACTGACTAAATGTTTAAATGATGTGTTTGGACCCCACCTAGATCAACAGTTGCTGTATTCCTGGGAATTTTACTGTAGTTAAATAGACAAAAGGAGAGTTAAGTCATCCCAAACACATGTTAGTCTGGACATGCCAAACTGAAAAGAATCTGAACTCCAGCAGCCAGTGCCATATGCACAACATAAGGACTGATTTAGTTTCACCAAAACGTCATCACTTTATATTAAATTAATAGCATTCATTTTAATCTTAGCATTCATTTTTAATTTTGGATTTCTATTTTTACTTTGTATATATGTCAGGCTTCTATAGTTGTATAAAACTCTAAGCATAAGAAAAGTCATTCCTCGTTTTATGTGGACACATGTAAATATGTGATGTAATGTAATGTAATACATTTTAGGTAATATTTAAGTAACATAATAAAATAAAACCTTTTAGAAGGGTTTTGTCCTTGAGTGATGTCAAAGATAAACACAGTGGGCATTACTTAAAGTGGTGAAAACAGTTTATGTGGTAATTGGCACTCAGGGAAAGAGCTGACCTCTTGTTGTTGTGCACATATTCTGATATGTGCAGAAGTGCCTGGATGATCAATAGTGAGACTGGAAGAAGGGAGAAAACAGTGGGAACCTGAACAGTCATGGAGGGGAAACACTGAGAAGGTAGGAAGGCAGTTGGTTCGTATGTATCTGGGTTTGCTAACTGGCAGTAGTTGAAATTAGGTCCCTACCCTTCCACAGAAACCAGGAGACAGGGATCCCTATCTCGAGATGCGGGCAGGAACAAACAGTAAATTCTTTTGGCAGCTGTAAGTTTTCTGAGGCAGGCACTTTAAGGAAGACTAGGGTCATCCTGGGGATGTGGCCTTGAACTATTAGAAGTGTGTTAGTATTTATTCAAGTCTTTATAAGCCAAGGGTGAGGCCTAGTTGAGAAGAGAGCTCAAAGGAGCCTGGCGAGAGTTCGGCCAAGGAGAGACTCTTTGTCAGTGATAGTTCAGAGTGGCAATGTGCCCTCACTTTCTTGTGATAAACAGTGATTGTTATATATTAATTATTGTAAAGAGAGCTTGATTTTAAAATCTTAACTGAAAGAAAAACATGAAAAATTATGCTACTATGTTTCAGGGCCGAGATCTGGACTGTAAAATTCAGGAATATAAAGAAGCTGGAAAAAGCTTTCCGGAAAGTCAGATAATCGAATGGTTTATCCAGCTGTTGCTAGGAGTTGACTACATGCATGAAAGGTATGTTCATTTGTTACTGAGGGACACGATTTTAACAGTCATGTCTGAACCTGAAAAATGAATTTTGGGGGGTAGAATGAAAGGAAGCAATCGTGAAAGGTAAATGACTGTAGTTAAACATCTGCAATATGCTTTTCCATGAAGAAACTGTTGAATGATTCAATATAAAAGATTTACTTGAATAGCCTTTTTTGTTGTTGTTCTAGAAATCAAGTTGGCCTTGAATACAAGACAGAAAGTTGTATTAAACACATTCTCATTTATCTGATCATCTCCTGTGTTTACAAGTGATTCTCAGATACCTTTAGCATGCTATGAATTTATTATATTTTACAACAGGCTTGAACTATAAATACCTAGCATGCTCTAAATCAATTGCACAATCAACTTAGAATGTGTCAGTGCACAAGTTAGCTGTGTTCACATCCCAACATGAGCTGAGTAATTGAGGCAAAAGTTATTCTTGGGACTTAGAGAGATAAATATTTAGACCGAGTCAGTTTTGATGTGAAATATCTGATACAGAAGGTCAAAGTATGTTTTATGAGTTCAGTTGTCTGTAACTTGCATTTATAATCTCTGCCTTAACATGTATTTTAAAACTTTTAATTATATTTCTTATATGTCAAAAGTAATAATTTTTGGGTGTTTTATAGATATACAAAATGGCATGACCACATTTGAAAAGAGGAACACACATAGACAAAAGCAGATACTCGGAGTTGTCCCTGTTAGCCTTCAACTTAGGACTGGGTGGAACATGTGATAACATTCTTGAACAAAGGTTGAAATTTATAGAATATATCAAGGTCTGGCTACCCATGGATGTCAGATAGCTCACATGTGTTTCCTATGGTTTCTGGATGCATAAAAAGTGACCAGATTATACTGAGCTTTGCCATGTATCTTCTAAACACATGCTCGACACTGAGTGTTGTATGGAAACCAATTTAACAATAAATTTCATAGGAGAAAAAAGAAAATACAGAAGTAGAAAACAAAACAAAAAGAAATAAACACATGCTCGATGATACAAATAGCTACTGATTTATTGACAACTCATAAAAATTTTCTGAATGATGTTAAACTTTCCTAAGAAACAATGATAAAAGAATATCAAATAATGTTTTAATAAACTACCCAAAGCTGCTGAATGTAGACATATGTGTATACAGTTGTATTGGTGTTTCTTTTCTTTTCTTTACTATTCCATGCATATTTGTTAGCTTATACATAAGGAAATATGTATATGTCATATATGTATATGTCATCTTCACATATAAAAGTGACAACCTTTATGTTCTCGGTGCAAAATATAAAACTGAAATCTGGTTGATTTAGTAATCCAAATATTTGAAATATGTTTGGTGTGGTTACTAGTTAATGAGTTAATAGTAAATGAGTTTAAAATAGTCCTTCAAAGAGAGGATTTAAATTTTTTTGAATCCTTCAACATTTTAAGAAAGTTATTAAATGGAGCTAAATGTTTGGATATTTGTGTGTCTGTGTTCCTGAAATACCATCCTTTGTGATTCAGATAACAAATTGTGGTGTTTATTTATTGTTACCATAACCAACCATTGTAAAGTTTTTCTGCATAGACAGAAATTTAAATTTTATTCTTAGGTTCATTTATTCATTTATTAAACAGAGATAAATTAAAAATAAGACCTAACCTTAAAAACTGTTAGCAAACTAGCAGAGATAAAGCATGTACCCAAATAACTATAAACCCTGTAACAAGTGGATGTATCAGATGCAGTCTCTGCTACATCCTGCATCATGGCCCTGGGCAAGCTGCTTAACCTCTCTGAGCCTTTGTTTTCTCATTTATAAAATAGGAATAATGATGGGACTCTCCCTACTTGCTTATAGGACTGTAATATTCACTGAGATGTTACACATTTAAAAAGTTTGCAGTCTGTTAAGCACTCTGTAAATGTTGTTGTTTGTGGTTGTAATTTATATAGAAATGAAAGCATAGTCACCAGAAGGGCTAAAAAAAATGCTGACAATAATAGTGCTGACAAGGATGTGGAGCTACTGGAACTCTCTTACATTGCTGGTATAATCACTTTAGAAAAAACCTAAACACTCAAATACCCTGTGATCCAGTAATTCTGTTCCTGAGATGAGAAATGAGTTCCTGTGTCCAACAAAAGACATGTACAAAATATCCATAGAAGCCTTAACTGTAATAGCAAAACACTGAGAAATGTCCATTTATAATAGAATGGTTGAATAAACTGTGGTATAGTCTTATGATGGAATACTACTCTGCAATAAAAGAAGGACATACAACTGATTTGCATGACCTGGATGAATCTCAGAGATGTGATGTTGAGTGAAAGAAGCCAGAGGCAAAAGAGTGCATCTTCTATGGCTCCATTTATATGAAATTTAAAAAAAAAAGGCAGTCTTAGAATAGAGATTACCCTTTGAAGGGGATTTTGACTGGAACGGGGCACAAAGAAATTTCTTGGATGCTGGAAGTGTTCTATATCTTGACCCAAGTGGATGATTACAAGGGTGATAAATTCATCAAGTTAAAGATTTATGCATTTTAATGTAAATTATACTCTAATTCAAAACAAGTGATAAGAGTGCCAAAAAGAGTACAGTCTAAATGCTAAAGTAGATCAGAACAGGGATAATGTTTCTACTTGGGAGAATCAATGAAGGTCTTGGAAGAAGTGATATTTGACCCAATGTAGGCTTTGAATAAAGTGAAAGATGAGTCAGAGCTTTCCAGATTTAGGGAACAGAGTTGGAAAAGGCACAGATGTGGGAACTCATGGTACTTTTAGAGTGAATGATGAGTAGGTCAGTTGGAATGGCTCTTGGGATACATGGATGAAGTTGTGAGGAATGATAGGTTGACATCAAGTTGTAGAGGGCTTTATTTTGTACTATAGACAATGATGCCACAGAATCCTTTTGAGTGGAACTATGATCAGAGCTTCAGGAAGACTGGGTAATAAATTATAGAGAGGAGAGAGGGAAACTCAGAATATCAGTCTGGAACCTTTTATAATATCCATGCATGTGGTTGTATGACCTGAAACAATATGGCAGCAGTGGGCAGGACATGGAAGGATGAGAGTTAACTTGATAAGTTCAAATGACTCGGCTTGAAATTATGTGGATATCTCAGATTGATAAGAGAAGGTCAAGGATGAACCCAAGTTTCATCACCCAAAGAGGCAAGTGAGAAGTTGGAAAGATAGGTTTGAAGTAATGGTGCTGAGTTTAATAGTGAATATCCTGGGTGAAATCTGGAGAGAGATTGAGAGAGGAAAGGTGGGAGATAGAGCGAGTGGAAGGAAGAGAGGGAGGGTGGAAGGGTGAGAGGGAGGGATGGAGAGAGACAGAAAAGAAGGAAGGAAGGAAGGAAGGAAGGAAGGAAGGAAGGAAGGAAGGAAGTGACGGAGGGAGGGAGGAGGAAGGAAGGAAGGAAGGAAGTGATGGAGGGAAGGAGGAAGGAAAGAAAGAAAGAAGGAAGGAAAGAAGGAAGGAAGTTAGAATTGAGGTCCTAGATATTGAGGAAACACCAAAACTTGTCTGAATTCCCCCAATATCAGAGCCTTGAAACAAAAAATGGAGTGTAAGAAGTTTATCTAGGGGGTGATTTCATGAAACAGAGCCAATGAATGGGGAGAGTGAGGGAGACAGGGAAGTGAGAAAAGCCATACAGGGCATATTATTGAGCTGGTTGCTGCTGTGGGAAGAGGGACGTAGAGGCAACATTCTTCTATGTGTTTTAGGTTTGGGTTCCTCTTTTTGCATTCTTTTAGAACATTTATGAAAATTCTTGCCCACATATAACAGTTCTCTAACACTATTATGAATTTCCTCTTGAAAATTCCCCATATTTCTGGGAGTTTTGGGTGGAAAAGTGAGGCAGTTATCACTATCTTGATCCAATCTCTAGACTGGTTTTTTGTGGGTATTTCTGAGTATAATTGACATGCAGTGTTACATTAGCTCCAGATGTACAATATAGTGATTCCACAAGTATATGCATTATACTATATTCACCATAAGCAACCTCTAGAATAGTTTTTAAATGGAGAAATGCTATATGTTATTCCTGATCACAAATCTATAATCTACATTTCAAAATATTTAATTTGTATAGGTCTAAATATGTCTCCTATAGAAAATAAACTATCTCGTGGACAACCTAGAAGAAATAGATAAATTCCTAGAAACCTGTAACCTACCAAAACTGAAGCAGGAAGAAATAGAAAATTTGAACAGACCTATTACCTGAAATGAAATTGAATCAGTAGTAAAAAAAAAAAAAAAACTCCAAACAAATAAAATTCCATGACCAAATAGCTTCACAGATGAATTTTACCAAACATTTAAAGAAGAGTTAATACCTATTCTTCTCAAACTTTTCCAAGAAATAGAAGAGGAAGGAAAATTTCCAAATTCATTCTATTAGACCAGCATTGCCCTGATACCGAAACCAGATAAAGACACAACAACAAAAAAAAGAGAACTACAGGCCACTATTTCTCATGAACATAGATGCAAAAAACCTCAGCAAAATGTTATCAGACTGAATCCAACAATACATTAAAAAAATTATTCATCATGATCAAGTGGGATTTATTCTTGGGTTACAAAGGTGATTCAATATTTGCAAATTAATGTGATACATCACATCAGTAAGAGAAAGGATAGAAACTGTATGATCATTTCAGTAGATGCAAAAAAAGCATTTGACAAAGCACAATATCCATTGATAAAAATCCTTAACAAAGTAGTCTTAGAGGGAACATACCTCAACCTTATATGAAAAACACAGCTAACATCATACTCTGTGGGGAAGAACTGAGTGCCTCATAAGATCAGGAACAAGACAAAGATGTCCACTCTCACCACTTTCATTCAACATAGTACTGGCAGTCTTAGCCACAGCCATCAGACAAAAAAAATAAAAAAGAAAAAGGAAATGACATCCATGTTGTTAAGGAAGAAATAAAACTTTC